AACGTCAACACTTTTTTCACTGGAACATACAATCGACTCTTTGATACCAAAGCAGCGACAAATACATGGCGCAACCCAAACCAATCGATCTACATCGGGAATTCAGGGCTTTCAACTGAACATGTTTGTGCTTTTCTAAATAGGCAAAAGTAGAACATTCCAACTATCGCCTTAATTTTCGTTTCCCACCAAGATTAAGGTAACCGGCTTAGGATCCTGACCTCTTCAGCCGCTCGTGGCAAGACGTGATACACGGAAAACATGCATTCTATATTTATGACTTGAAATAAACAAAAACATTTTCAAAAAAAAAACTGGAAAATAATGGAAAAATACAGAAATAAGCAGCACACGTACAAATCGACTAAGCATTTTGGAATGGAACATTTAGGTGTGAAGAATGAACGGAGGAACCGAGTGAAATCAGAAGCGAAAACAGGAAGACAATGAAGCAAATGATATTTAATCGATATGTGCTAGATTTCCTCTCTACGTCTCCGGATAACTGGCACAAATAAATATTATATTATTAGAATACAGAAAACCTATATGAACAAAAAATTCAAATTCAATAAAATACATAGCAAAATATAATATCACTGAGATCTGTAGGGAGACGCGACGATGCGAAACCAGAGCGAGAACTTCTCACGCTATGGCCCCTGGACGCCTATGCTACCCTATAGTTGCAAATATGCGGGAGGTTACTAACCCACTCCAGGTTACTGTAGGTAATGCGTGGAGCAATTGAAGACGTACTGTATGCAGAAAAAAAGCAGCAAGCGTCAGCTATTCCTGACCTCAAGCTCGTTAATTCTGACCCAGGCTGTTCATAGCTGGACTTGATCTGACCGTGCCCACCTGACCATCCTGAGGGAGCTCACAAGGCCGAAAGTAGTCACTGACCCTCTGAACCATCCACCAGATCCTCTGATTTTTGCGGAAATCAAGGCGCCAGCGAGGGTCACTGATTCCCTGGAGGAGGACGAACTTCCTTGAGGAGGGTTCTCTGTGTGCGCCAATAGCAGATGTCTCGGTCCACATGACCCTTCACCCCTGAGCCTCTAAATGGATAGGTTGCGGCAGGGGATATTTCCATAGCACCCCACTAAGAGAGCTCTTTCGGTACATCAAAAACGGCAGCCGCAGCCCGACTTCATTGGATTACAAGCGCATCTCCGGCTATATCTGGCACCTGCGCCTGAGAAGAACCCTTGGCTGATGCATGCGCTTATTCAGCGGATTCCTAATAGTGGGAGGCAAGGTTTTATCTAGTTGGCATAGCAGACAGGACAATAATCTTTTTAGCAATTTTTCGAGACACATGAATGCGGCGTAAGGTAAGGCGAAAGAGCTCGAGGTCCCCCCTGAGAGGTTAGCACATTCCATAAACCCCCCGGTCCAGATAGCCCAGGTAACACCTATAACCTTTGAAGATTAGCTTGGAATGACGCTGACTTAGCCCTGACTGAAATGCATCATCTGCTATACGCCGTGGGAGCCGACAAACACGCCGAATTGTTAATTCCATTGAGAAATGTCGCCTCCGAACCAGGCCCAGGCCAGCAGACCCCTAAAGTGGTCCCACTATACTTCTGCGCAGTTTTCGGTCAAAAAGAGGCATGACATCGACCGCGGCAGAGGTTGGGCAGATGGCTTGGCAGGTGGCCAGCTACTTTGCATACCGCGCGCCTATTCTCTGTGTTTTTTCCCGGTTCCCCGCTCTCCCCCGTACGACACATGCTCTATGCATACTCTCTCGCGCTCCGCTCTCCTACTCAGTCGTGCTCTCTTAGCCTACCGAAAACTTCGTTCGTTGCTAGCGCAATATGGTAGCCATCTGCGTTGAGGCCTAATTCGATTGTGCTAATAATTACAAGAGCCCGACGAGATTGTGTCACATCTGCGCCGTGCTTAGCTACAACTTACAAAGAAGTTGCATATAGGCCTGGTGAAACGATGTGATCAAAAAACGGGGATTACGGTAGTCGGGGATGTCCGCAGCCGCAGATTAAGTGAACAATTGCACTGTGAACTTAAAAAGACATGCGAGAAATGGAGATCAAAAAGTGACGTTCAAAAGCAACGGATAGACCTATGTGGCCTTAATGACCTAGATGAAGGCGCCTTTTTGGCCTTGTAGTTGAGCGAGGAAAAGTTGAGCCAGCATTTGTTGATTGAACATTGGTGGATACGGGAAAACATGGGGTTTAGGAGGCATAAGTCCCTCGAGGCCAGCTAGAAACGGTTGGTTAGCCCATTGGCTGCTGGCCGCATTCGGTTGGTGGTCGTGGAGCCGGTGACGGTTGGGTTACATTTTCAGCCGCTAGACTGACCGGCAGTGTAAGTGCAGACGATGCCATGGATGTAACGACTGTTTGAGGCGGTAGTTGGGAGACGACGGTGAGCTGCTGGGGGCAGTAGAGGGCTTGGCGGGTGGAGATTGGGTGGAGGGTGGTCAGCTGCACGAGCCGCTGCGGCTGAGGCAGTTGAGCTGGACCAACGCTTCCATCATTGATCTGAAAAGGATAACGATATTTCAAAGGCTTAAATATCAGAGGAAAATGCAAGTTTCATAATACCCCTTCAGGACCACGAAATTAGAAATAAAATCGAGCGATTCCAGTATTTGGGCCCCACTTCTCTTGTTATGAGAAGCTGAGGTTAGATAGAGGTCTTTTTGTTTATACGTGCATACTTTTCCCGCAACTGCGGTCGCGTCGCGGCTATCGCCGGCTATCGACCGACGCAACGCGACCGCATGCGACGTATAGTGAAAAAAGACTTCTAATCAGCAGACGATTCACCCTGAACCTGTACAAAAGCTTTGAAAATGAAGATTAAAGGCTTACTGTGGCATTAGCGGCATAGGTGTCATATGCTGTTGTTCTAAATTGCGTAAAGTGAGATCCAACGGTGATTCCTCCTGTCCATGAGGACTTCGCATGCGTGGTGGAGGCGGAGCCTAAAATCCAAGCGGATTATAATGTGATTAAAGGCCTGTTGAAAGCTTCTTGGAAGCATATCTATCAGACCAATGAATTACTATCGATAGTATACTAGATCTAGGGAATTCAAGAAACTCCTACGGTACCTTTACGCCTTTTCGGCTGAGTTTCTGCTGATAGGCGATCGGACATCCGGAAAGACTTCGATGTGAGGTGCGATTACTGTTCACATGACCTTTCCCAGTACAACCAGGTGTCGTACATCTGAGTACCGTATCCTGTTGTAGGGCGAGCACTGAAACCAGCCAAATAACGTTTTCTAATCTAATTCTGGTCACGGTTATCTGCCTGCGCACTTAAGAAAGTCCCATCCACGTCGCGCGGCAGAAAAAAAGCGATGACAACGACTGCAATTGTAGTTTGATGTACGGCCCTCAAGCAAACAAAGACGCCGCGTAATCAGTCACTGACTGATCGCAACGCGGCGCCGCGCGCGGCACCTAACCGTCGACTCAATCTCGCCATACTCAATGAATGCATGTAAGTAGACACAATGACAAATCGACACCGCTTCAGCTACCGTAGTAGTTGTTAATATGGCCGAGGCACCACACATGGGATTCAATGTACTCACTCTGAATGGTCGACTTGTCGGGGCGTCGTGGGCAGCCGGATAGACTTCGGTGGTGGGTGTAGAGACCGGTCTGATGGCCGCTGCCGTCACAGCCCGGCGTCGGACACGCCAGCTTTCCTTCTGGAACAGCTGAGCGCGGTTGAGTGATTCAGAAGGTCAAACGGACCGCAGAACTCACCTCTACGAGCGCTCCAATTCACACTTGGTGATGGCATCGATGGAGTGCCCATACTGGGGCTAGCCGATCCGGATGGTGGCAGTGACGAGGAGACGGGAGTTTTCGGCGGCGACTGGAAACAAAGGCGATTCGCATCTGATTAAGTGGCACACGATTAAGGGTTTTCAGTACTTACAGTCGCCGTTACTTCCGTGGTCGACGCGCCTTCGTCTTTGTCCGTTGCGGCTATACGTCCATCAATGGACATGCATAGCATCTCCGGCTCGACTTTACTCGGTGAAACGAAGCTCATATCGAAATTTCCTGTGCTCCTGAAAAGGCGAATGTGAAAGGTAGTACTACTGTTCGTGATGTCATCGGAGAGGCATTTAGCCCACAAGGGATTAAAATGGGCTACTACTAGGCTGGTTGGTTACGTCATCTCTGCACAATTATCCTTTTCCTACTCCCTTTAGCACTGAACTTTTGTTGGAATGCCGTTCTAAAGTGTACAATCCAAGACCCCCGGAAGTAAAGGAAGGGTATCCTTCTAGGTTTCCTCTAGCCGATACAAGTTTTACCCGGGTAAAGGCCAAGTGACGTGGTAACTGGGAAAGAAAAACCAGCATGAACTCGGACCACCTACAAAAAGGTCTCCATAATTACCATGGATTCGTTGGGATCACGCAGGTCATTCGGCGATGCCATAGGTCAAATAACCCTTACTCCT